TGAAGAAGTCATTCAGGAACAGTAGATTTCTTCAAACTTCAATCCTTACCACAAATCGATTTTGAAAGAAGTCTAACCTATACACACCTACGCTTTGCCGCATACTCTACATCTATCCCCTCTAGCACACCTGGTGGTGCATCCATTATCCTTCGTAATTCTGAGAGACACTCTGGGCTCAAAAAACTCATTATCTCTTGTACTATTAGATTATTAATCTGATTAGACCTTCTGCGAAACAAAGAAATAAACGTCAAATTCTCTTTGGGGGGTATAANTACGAAGAGAAATCTTCCAAGCTAAGTTTCACGTTTTGCAGAAGGTCTATTTTCATTACCTAGTGCTGCTGGATGGTGTGCAACTGGAATTTCTTCTTCATGCCTTGCTCTTTTTCGTGCTGTAGTGTCCACTTGTGGAGTAGCGTTTGTTGTGCTTTCCGGCAAAGCAGAAGTTGAAGCTGTATATAATTGACAATTCTTCAAAATATTACTAGCTACAGTCGTATTCTGTTGCTGTAAATATTGCATATACTCGTTTTCATATGCGCCAAGTTCAGCAAATAGAACTTTATATAGGCCAGAGTAGTCATGGATATCAGTAAGTACAGCAAATGCAAACTTTTTATCATCTCTGCTAAGCCACTGTTGAAAAATTAAAGTAGCTTCTTCTTTCATAGCCTTTAATAAATTAGACGCACGACGAATTGTTGTGCCTTCACCAGTTATTATATGAATATAAGCGTGTCTCTCCGGCTCTGTAAGAGCACTCAATGCCTCTCTAAGATTTCTGATACTTCTCCGAGAAGCTAGTTCATTTAATTTCTCAATCTTTTCATCACTAATAGTATCACTCCCACTACTTGCTACCCCTTGTGCTGGAATGTTCATTTGTAAAGGAGAAGTTGAAGCTTCATATGAAAAAAGATTCTTCAAAATACTTAGCTCCCTGTCCGAGGTCTCTGCCTCTAAATGTTGCTTATACTTAGTTTTGTATGCGCCAAGTGCAGCAAATAGATCCTCAAATAGCCTACTGTACCTAAAATAGCTATGACTAAGTGTCCTAAATGCAAAAACTGTATTATCTTCAAGCAACTCTTGAAAAACCACAATAGCTTCTTTTCTTTCTTTTTCTTCTCTATGTTCATCTTTTATAGCAGTTAATATGCTCATCATAGATCTAACACTTCCGTGTCCACGAGTTTCAAGAATATATTGTGTTCTCTCCGGATTTGTAAGCTTCCAAAAAACTGATTTGAATTTCATCTGAGCGTCATTCCTAGCAAATTCATTTAATTCCTTAACCTTTTCATCACTGATATTGCCGTTGTGCATTTTTTTATATTATATATTAATATACTAATTATACTCATTAATTTTATTAAAATTATTAATTATTTAGTATTTTCGCAACAGATTAATAATTAATATATTGATAAAAGAAACATTTTTATTGATATATTATGGAAGGAATTGGAGTTCTTAAGGAATAGACCTTTTTTTATAATTCTCTGAGAAGATGTCTTGAAATCATTTAAGTAGCTAATTTTTAAGCATAATGGTAATCATATTAAAGAAAATATTGGTTTTTGAGGTAAGAGGAGAATGTTCGTAATCTTTGCTCATGCGCCTAAAATTGGAGAGCCAAGCAAAGGTTCTTTCAACTATCCAACGTTTTGGAATAACCTGAAATCCTTCAGCTTCTGGATCTTTTTTAGCAATTGTGAGTAGACATCCGGTTTTCAGAAAACAGCGCTTTTGCAGTTCACCTGTGTATCCTTGATCGGCAAAAAATCTCTGCAAAGTTAGTGTTTTGCGCTTTGCTTTTATTAGTAGAGCTAATGCTCCATCACGATCTTGCACACCTGCACTATGCACATCAGCTGTGACTACAAGACCCAACGTATCCACTATAATATGGCGCTTCCTGCCTTTTATCTTCTTTCCAGCATCGTAACCTCTGGACCCCCTTTTTGAGTCGTTTTTACTGATTGACTGTCTATTATTCCAACAGACGGTGTTGCTCTTTTGCCGGCCATTTCTCTTACCTTTTTTACCAAAGAGTCATGTATTCGTTGTAATTTTCCATTATTGCGCCACCTGAAATAGTGGTCGTATACTGTTTTCCATGGCGGAAAATCTTTTGGCAGCATTCTCCACTGACAACCTCCTTTCATTATATATCTTATTGCATTAATAATCGCTCTAATATCGTGTTTTCTTGGCCTTCCTATTGCCCCTTGTGCAACGTATGGCTCTAGTATTTCCCATTCTTTGTCACTTATGTCACTTGGATACATTTTTTTACCTCTTAATTCTACATTTGCTTTAGTATATTTATCTTTTCATTTCTTTTCAAGACATCTTCTGAC